GATCCTGAAGACTACCTCCTGCCTCCTGAACTGCATGTGAAGTGCCTGGGAAGTCCCTATGAACTACCTGCAGCCTGCAGGGCGGGCCAGTCTTATATAGTGCTGGCCCGTCCAGGAGGCTGCTCTTGCCAATGCCAAAAACGTGCCAGACCCTGGCGTTGAAGTTCAAACAAAGGTTCTCTTGAAAACAGGCCCAAAACGGCCTGTGCTTAAACCCTGGTCTGGTGCCTAAGTTTCAGGGCAGGTCGATCTTATGAGGGCCTGAAAATGGCCCTCCGTTTCAGGCTGAAAAGACTCAGGGCCTGGAGGGCCCTGTTTTAGGCTGAAACGACACAGGGCCTGTAGGCCCTTGTTTTCAGGCTTTCCGGCTGAAACGACACAGGGCCTGTAGGCCCTTGTTTTCAGGCGTTCAGGCTGAAATGACCCAGGGCCTGAAATGGCCCTCTTTTGCAGGTGCAGCATGTAACACACACCGTTGCGACCCTTGCGCGGGTTCAAGGCGGACACAACGCGCGTGTTCAATGCGCACGCAGAAACTTCGCGCAGCACGCCCCCCCCCTCGCTTCTCTTCCTTCTTCTTCCGAGCGGACCCCACTCACGTCGCTTCACGCCCCCCCTGGCCGCTTCTCCCAGCCGCGTGCATCACCTCACGGCCCTCGCATCGTTGCGCACCCGCCCCGCCAGCTTTATGGACGTCCATCGCGTGCAGCGTCTCCAGTCCCTCACAACGGACCTCCGGTTCCGCACCCCCCCCACAGCTTGCGGCGTCCCACCGCTTCGTCGTGCCGCACCAATTTTCGCTGGGCCCACAGGCAAGTGTTACGGTGGGCCCTTTGTAATCTTTAATAGTATAGAGATTTTGAACTATTTTGGATGGGTCTGGACTCCGTGAGCGAGGTCCCACCAGCAAAGAGAATTGGACTGAGCGCCTGAGTGTGGATGTGTTTTATGCAGAGATGCAGATGCAAGNGGACTCCGTGAGCGAGGTCCCACCAGCAAAGAGAATTGGACTGAGCGCCTGAGTGTGGATGTGTTTTATGCAGAGATGCAGATGCAAGGAATTGCATTGTTATGCGGCCTGTACGCTACTTCGATCTGGTGGTTTTGAGCTCTCTGGGACTTGATCCCGTGACCTGTGCCGTAGTTGTGTGTTTCTTTGTATGTGTGAGCCTTACTGGGCTTGATCCCTAGGTCTGAGTGTGGGAGTCTCTGTAGGGTAGTCGTAGAACCACTGGGCCTCTCAGTTTTGTCATTTTCTGCCTTCGAGTTGTAGGTCGTTTCTGGCCTTCCCTTTTGCCAATTTTAGGTCTAGATTCGGTCCTAGGCTATAGGCTGTCGTTCCTAGGCTGTAGGCTGTCGAGTGAGGGAAAACAGCAGTGTCGAGGGCAAGGGAAAACGGGTTCTGTCTCGTCATTTTTTTCCCCATGAAGTGCTGCTGGAGGTCGTGCCCTGCTTGGTGCTGCGTTATCTCACCCTCAGCACCATCTTCATGCTGCGAGGGCTGGTAGCCATAGCTGGGGCTACCTAGCTCATGTTGAGACAGCCCTGGGCGTCAGGCCCTGTGCTCTGTGAGGTGCCTCCTCTTACCTGTGCTGTTGGGGATAGGCAGTGCTGCCGTCAAGACCCTTCTTCGAGGTGTGTGTCGAACCGGCAGCCATCTTCTTCTTCATCAAGCGCTGGTGTTCTTCTTCTTCGTCCTGGGAGCTACCCTGCCCTGTTGAGCGGCCTAGGACCCGAGAAACGTCCTAGTCTAGATTCGACCCAAGGCAACATAATACCACCTAGGTCAGTTAGTTGGACCTGAGGTGTACTCTCTTTTTTTCGGGGGGGTGGGTGGTCGTGGTGGGGATTTCTGAGAGTCGTCTGTGTTTGTTTTTTCTGTGTGTGTGTCTGTGTGATGTGTGTGTTCGAAAGCAACTCATGGTGCTATACGCCAAGCACCCCATTATACATGGTACACCCGGCCAAGCCGTAACCAAACTGATACTGTATGTTTGGGGGGGGGGGAGGATTTCTGATAGTTCTCTGTGTGTGTTTTGGGGGTGTGTGTGTTCCAAAGCAACTCGTGGCGCTATACGCCAAGCACCCCATTATACATGGTACACCTGGCCGAGCCATAACCAAACAGATGCTGTATGCTGCCACTCTACTTCTCATGAAGTGCCCTCATACATTCACGGCTTTCCATGACCAGCTTTCCAGACAATCACGCAAGCAGACCAAACAGGCAAACGAAGACAAAAAAGTCCCATAAGGATGCCAAGACCAGGAGGTGAACAACAGGCTGGAGGGCACGGGGGGGGGGGCGGGAGGGGAGACGACATGCAAGCACACCAAACAAGCAAACCCAAAAAAAATACAAGCCCAAAAACGATGCAAAGACCGACTAAAAATAAAAATAAACGCTGATGATGATAGATTGTTTCGTCGGAGTTGCACCGACTCGTCAGGAGGCTGAACCCTTTACAATTTGCGGAATCCCAGTATTGATGATTTGGGTCATGAACCGTTTGACCCATGTTGGAGGCACGCTTTCCCCAAGTGGGACATTGCAGCAGGCAGCAACTGGGCAAAGCACCAGGCAACGCTGCCGGAGCAGCTCAACTGCATATCGCCAAAGACGATTGCAGCCGTGGAAGGGACAGGATGCGGATGGGCAGCAAGCCAGCAGAGCAGTGAGGC